GGCTGGTGGGGTTTGTATTCTTGTAGGGCTGTGAGGAGGAGTGAATGCGACATCATTGCAGCGAGCTTCACGTGTCACCTGGCACTGAACAAGCATTCTATAAGACTGCATCACGCATATTGTAATAAACATTTGTTCTAAAATAAGATAGTATTTTTTGCTAGTATCTATATCATTAAAAGAGTAGCTCAAATAATAACATTAATTTTAAAATAGATGATCCTTTGCCACTATGGGATATAACTATGGGGGGAAAAAGCAAGTTTATAGTGGTCTCAAAGAATAACTCTCTCTCTCTCTCTCTCTCTCTCTCTCTCTCTCATGCTTTTTGTAGCACTTGGGATGTTGAAAATAGGAGGATCACTACAAGTCCTACAAGTCTAATCTGTGTAGTGACACCCTGTAGATCCTGTACTAAATTACATTTTTTTAAAAAAGAAAGCTTTTCCTGTACATGGAATGGGTTGAATATCCTTTATGCTTGGGTCCACAAGTGCTTTGGCATTTGGATTCTTTTCAAATTTTAGAATACTTACAATACATGATGAGATAGTTGTGTTGATGGGGCCCAAATTTAAACATAAAACTCATGTATGTTTCTTATATACCTTATTCATGTGGTACAGAGGCAATTTTATAAAATGTTTTAAATAATTTTGTTGATGGGACAAAACTTCATGGTGAAGAATTTTCTGTATAGGATTATGTAGACATTCAAGAAGTTTCGTATTTTGGATTAAGGGAGCTTAACCTATTCCTCCCGCTTACCACCTTCATGACCACCACCACCACTCCCAGCTACTTTTAAGGTTTTCTCTTTAATTCTGCTTTCCAGAAGTTTAACTATAGCGTGCCTGAGTGTGGCATTTGTGTTATACTCTACTTGGGGTTCTCTACACTTCTTGAAGCTTATTGTAAAGCTTTTCTATTTCTTCTCATGTATAGAAAAGCAGTTTCTTTACAAGAAAATAAGCTTATTGTTGATGATGATGATGATATTGATGGTGGTGGTAATCATATTGTTGTTACTCTATTTGAGTACAATTTGACCATTAAAAACCACCCTGCAGAGACTGGATGTGGTAGCGCATGCCTGTAATCCCAGCACTTGGGAGGCTGTAAACAGGCAGATCACTACAAGTACAATCTAGTAGTGAGACCCTGAACACCCTGTAGACCCTTCCCTAAAAATACAAAAAAAAAAAAAAACCTACCCTCCATTTTTTCTGGGCTCTCCTTCTTAGACTCCAGTTATATGTGTATTAGACCACTTGATGTTATAGTTTGCTTGTTTTTAATTTTTATCAATTTAAATTTACTAACCTTTCTCTCACCTCCAATATGCTGTTAAATTGATCCAATCTAATTTCCCATTTCTAATACTGTATATTTCGCTTCCAGCATCTTCGTTTTTGTTTAACAGTTTCCATTTTGATAGTTTTTGACGTCATTGATTTTGGCCATCATTTCTTTGAAATCCATGAATTTATTTAGAATAGCTACATTACTGCCCTTCTTTGCTAGGGCTAACATCTAAATGATTCTAAGGCGTTTCTCTTAAATGCTCTTCTAATGAATGTAGACTACATTTTCTACTTCTTCTCATGTGTAGAAAACTTCTATGAAATACTGAACATACAGATAACACATTATAGAGAATTTGAAGTGTTACATTGTTCTAGAGTGTTGAATTTTGTAATACCAAGCAGTTAATTTATTAGCAGTCACTTTTATTTATTTTTTAATCATTTATTTATTTATTTATTTATTTATCTGGTACAGGGTCTCACTTCACAGCTGGGATTCCTAGTGATCCTCCTATCTCAGCCTCCCCAGTGCTGGGGTTACAGGCGTGCACCACAGTGCCTGGTTTCGGTAGCTGGCACAGTGTGCCCAGGGTTCCAGGGCCAGCATGGCATGCGGTACTGGGGATGGAACCCACTTGCCAGGCAGGCACTTAGACCACCAAGCTATCTCTCCAATCCTAGCAGTCACTTTTAACTTGTGTAGTCTTGGTCTTACATTTCATTAGGGCAAACCTATTTCAGTTTTGCCCCAAGGTGTGACCATGATGGGACAGTAGAAATCCTACAGTATGTACAAACCCTTCTAACTTGATGAGACTCAAGTTATGAATGTTTGTCTCTACTGCAGCAGCCAGTAGCTGAGATTTCTGCTAGTGTCTTTCAGCTATACTACTATTGCTTTTGAGTGAATTCCTTAGAGTTTCCCCTCTACGTGGTGCTCAAGAGGCAGACAAGAATCTGAGCGAGTACTGACCAGCATTCTAGTCCCTTTTGATGCTCCCTCCTGTATGAGTTTGTTTCCACAGTTTCCTGCCATTCTGTCATCTCTATCCTGTGACAGCTCAAGCACTGATCTGTTCATCGTGTAACTGCACTCTGCCATGTAGACCAGAGAGCACTCTTGGCAGAAACCTGCATAAATATGTATCTCTCTATACAGCTCCCTCCTGTCAATAAAATCCCCTTCAGTTTTTGTGTTCTTTTTGCCATTCCCTAGTATCTTCAAGTAGTTTTTTAAAATATATTTTATCCACATTCTATACTTTCTAGCTGTAGGAAAGTTAGTCTAGTACAAGCCACTCAGCCATTATTACAATTGGTCTCTCTGCTCTCCTTTATAGGTAAGTAATGGCAGATCATAAATACTTCATCACCCTTTTCATATCTACTGTAGAACCTGGATGCTAATTTGGGCAAAATATTGAGATACTCTTCATTCTGTTACATACTTGCATAGCACTCCATTGCTTAGAGACATAATTGTAATTTACTTTAAACGTTTCTGGTTGGGGGCTGGGGAGATAGCTCAGTGGTCTAAGTGCCTGCCTGGCAAGCACAGGGACCTGGGTTTGACCCCCAGTAGCACATGCTGTGCCAGCCCCGGAACCCTGGGCAGGCTGTGCTGGCCATCAAAACTGGGTGTGTTGGTGCACACCTATAATCCCATCTCTGGGAAGGCTGAGACGGGAGGATCACTACCAGTTCAAACTGTGTAGCGTGACCCTGTACCAAATAAATAAATAAGTCTCTGGTTGGTAGCTATAACTGTGATTAAGCACTTTGAACTTATGGCAGCAAATTACATATTAGTCACAAAATAAGACCATCTTTACCATCTTGATCTTTTAATATCATGAACAATATTTCCTTTATTACTATATGTCCTAGGTAAGATCTAGGGGAACTTAAAAGAGAAAAATCTCTATTTTCTTATTAATTCAGTATACAATTTGAAGAGACTACCACCTTTGTCTCTGTTTACCAACCTTGTCACTTTCCCTTTTCTCCTTTGTGAGTTCTTTCTATAGGTACTGGCTTAGTGGTCAAAGGTGACATCACTGACTTATTTGACGTAGAACCTTCTGGTGAGGCAGCTCGCAAATCAGAGATGACCAAAGGCCTCATCAAGATGGATGTAAAACCCTCTAGAAAGTGCCATTTGCTGGGCAGAGCCCTGTCCTCTGAGCCTTAGTGGGGATGTAGGCGCTTACCTCTGTGCTGTTCCATCTGTGTGCCAATCCCCCAAGCCACACTTATTGCCACACGGTGCACACTTTGGCCTTTGGCCTCAGGAGCTTGTAAATTTCACTGAGGTGGGGTGCATGTGCTACTAACACATCTCTCTGTCCCTCTTTTCTCTGCCTGTGTCTGAAATGTATAGGGTCTGTTCACTCAGCAATGGGGTGCTCCTAAAAGTCTTTCATTGAAAAAAAAAAAAAAAAAAAAACCATAAAACAAGAACAAGGGGCCAGAGAAGCACTTCCCTGAAAAGCGCACGGGCCTGAGTTCAATCCCTGGTTCTGAAAAAAAAAAAAAAAGTCTTTCATATACAAGACTGTCACTCTGCACAGTTCTTCCACTGTTTATGCTGAAACTTAGTTTTGATACGACTTTTTGCCCTAGTTTCTATTTGACAAATTGATATTGCAGTGTGCATACAAATTCCAGAACCTGCCTATAGTCTGGTTCTGATCTCTCAGTTAGGTGTGTGACCTCGGGGACATTGGCTTGGTTTTATCGTCTATAAAATAGGAGCAGTAGTGGTCAGTTCTGCTTAGGAGTAAGTTTTAAGCAAAGTCTAGTATTTAAATATCGTCACTGTTAGTTGTGATCATTATTAGCAATAACAACTCCTGGACATGGATTCTTGCATCCAACTTTTCATAAAATTCTCTAAGTCAGTAAGAGCATCTACAGAAAAGTCCCTGAGGAGCCCTCGCCTCTCTAAAGCCCACATGGAAGAGCCAGGTGAGAAGATGAAGGATGGAGGCTGGGCTTGTGTTCATCAGCTTCCGGGTGGCGGATCCAGGGTTTGTTGGCATTCCGAGCTTGAGGAGCAGTAGGGCAGCGGTTGCACGTGTGGGCACTTGCCTTTTGTGTCAGCAAACAAAAGAAGACGCTGCATCCCGGGGAGAAGGGAGCTTTGTGAACAGGGACAGCTGCCAGTAAAGCCACCGTGAGGTCGCTCGCCTGCCAGTTCGCTGGGTCTGTAATTTTCTTTTTCTCTGCCCCGCAGATAACTGTGTCCAGAGGACCCCCAGGCCATCCATGGAGACTGTGCACCACAACCCTCCCACCATTGAACTCTTGCACCGCCCTAGGTCACCCATCACAACAAATCACCGGCCTTCTCCCGACCCGGAGCAGCAGCCCCTCCGGTCCCCCCTGGACAATATGATCCGCCGCCTCTCCCCTGCTGAGAGGGCCCAAGGCCCGAGGCTCCACCAAGAGAACAACCACCAGGAGTCCTACCCTTTGTCAGTGTCTCCCATGGAGAATAATCACTGCCCGCCATCCTCCGAGCCCCACCCGAAGCCCTCCAGCCCCCGGCAGGAGAGCACCCGAGTGATCCAGCTGATGCCCAGCCCCATCATGCACCCTTTGATCCTGAACCCCCGGCACTCCGTGGATTTCAAACAGTCCAGGCTCTCCGAGGATGGGCTGCACAGGGAAGGGAAGCCCATCAACCTCTCCCACCGGGAAGACCTGGCTTACATGAACCACATCATGGTCTCAGTGTCACCGCCTGAAGAGCACGCCATGCCAATTGGGAGAATAGCAGGTGAGTGAGCTCGCTGCCTGAGCGTCGGGGGGCCTGACACAGCCTCCTCTCCTCAGTGCCTTGCCGCAGACCTCACAGCGCTGCCATTTCGGTGCCCGCCTTGGCTCTGAGAGGCCAAGTGGAGCTTCGGCCCGGATGAGGCAAAGTTCCTAATGGGCCAGGTAATGAGCCACGGGGAGGGAGTAGTTAATGAGCCTCAGAAATGTTAAGAAACAAATGTTGTAGGTCCAGCTTACAAGGAGAGTCACATCAGAATAAGGGCTAATCGAAAGCATTTAACATCAAAGGTTTATGAGCATGCTACTAGCCCTGTCCTAAAGTGTCCAGCAGCTAACAAATAACTAGACACAGCATAAAGAATCTTTGTCTCAGATTCATGCCCGTAATTCATCCTGTGGGAAGCGTTCACCTTGAGAGGGGGCAGGAAAGGAAAATAGGATTATGGGTTGGAGGCAGGTGTTCCTGGTCTTTTGGACAGAGGAAACCACTCCCAAATTCTTTTTATGATGACAAGTTCAAATCTGCTTACGTAGGACAAGAAACCAGTGGAAACCAGTGAAGAAAAACCTACTCATTCTGTTTTGGTTAGTCTACCCATAATTGACACAAAATCATTCTCCAAAGGCCTCATGCCTGGTCTGGCAAGGTGGACTCTTTCCTTCGAGTCTCTTTTCTTTCTCGAGGCATTTGTTGAGCACCTACTGTGCACAGGTGGATGTGTAAAGTGTGCAGTAGGCAGACCTAACACACGCCGCCTTTTTCATCCAGAATTGAGGATTCAGTGAGACACCAATGTGCAAAACGCTGAGGTACACGGCAGAAAGCAGTCAGTCCCATGTCACATTCATGTCCTGTGTAAGTATCCGCTGTATGCCGCAAAGCGAGGCAAAGGAAGATGAGTTCTGACCGGAGAAGCCGGAGTCTCACAGCTCTAGCTCAGTTCCACAGGGTTTCTGCTCTCCATAGCGGAGAGGAGGCCGGAGGCAGAGCAGACATGCATAGACACAGAGAGAAGTGCCGCTTCCTCGGAAGCCCACTGAGATACAGCAGTGCCCCTAACAGCAGGTGCTTCTGGAGGCCTCCTCCGCCTCTATCTGCCTTGTCCTTTGTGTAAATCATTCTTTTCTCTGGCCCTAAATGCACCTCCACAGTCGCCTCAGTTTTGTTGTTGTGAATAAGTTATAGCCGGCATGTTGAACCAAGGACATAAATGGAATCCGGGGATGCAGCTTGGGTGGCATGTGGCCTTGGCCTGTGTGAAGCCCTACATTAAAAAAGAGATCAAAGAGAAAAGGAAGGAGGGAGGGAAGGGTAAATAAATATGTTTAAACTTACATGTTTTTAAAAACCTAGGAAAATGGAATAGAGTTTGTATTCACTTCAAAAAATGATGCCTCGGGTTTGGGGGGTAGAGACTGGGGTGGGTTACACCGTCAGATGAAGTTAGCCATGAGCCCACTGTGATTAATGGCCAGGAGATGGCTGGTTAGATGGGGGTTCGCCTGGTTCCTTTCCTCTTACCTATACACTAGGGCTTTTGGTTTTGCTTTTTTCTTTTGAGACAAGGCATCACTAAGTTGCCCCCTCTAGCTTTAAACTTGGGATCTTCCTGACTCAGACTCCCGATAGCTGGTATGGTAGTATGTGCCACCATTCATTGGGAGTTCTGAAATAATTAAAAACTGCAGCAGTAGAGAGATAGGGGACAAAGAGTTTAGGCCGAACATGTTCATTTCCTCAGGTAATTGGAGAGAGAGGATAGAGCCAGAGCAGTGCTGTCAATGATACAAATGATCTTACAGCTTCCGGGCAAGACCCTGCTTGTCTGCATTGTCTGCACAACAGGACTTGACATTTTGCGGATCCTTTATAGTTGTTAATAGTTCTCAGGACAGCTGTTTGCAGTAGAGCAAACACTACTGTGTTCCTTTCGTGCGCAAGGGTTATCTGTACAGGGGAGAGCACCGAGGAACCTGAGCCCCAATGTCAGACAAGGGCTGGGGGACTCGCCGCTCTCAGCTGCTGTCCCTAGTGCTGCCCCCATAGGTGTGGCTTTCTTGTCAAGGTCCCTGATGTCCACATCCCCCACACCATCGTGACCACATACACAGTCTTTGGGAATCTAAGACAAGCCTGCAGAGCAAGACAGGTGGCTATTTCCCCCTCATATAGTAAGTTTGTAAGTTTCAAGACACAGTCTCTTGAAATTATACCACCATTGTTTAAGAGTCTTATTCCTGAACATCCGTCTTGTCTGTTGATGGACCTTGCCGCATCTGTTGAGGAGCCCTGTGGAAGCTTGTGCTGACCAAATGCTAGACCTTGTGTCTATGGAACGCACAGAAGCAGGAGTCTCTGCTTTTCTGTATGGCATTGGGAAGTCAGAGTGTTCATGGAACATAACCCTTGGGTCCAGATCTTTTGGGGAATGAGTTAACTCCTTCAGTAGGACAGAGTGCTCTAAAATGAATTGTTAACACTATCTTGTTTTATTCAAAAGCTTCAAATGTCCAACTATATGCATTAACTAATTTAACCAAAGCCAGATTAATTAATTGAACTGAAAGCTATTGTTTCTCTCAGGGCAATCTTTTCAATTTCTTCTAGTTCCACAAGTCTGCAGTCTCACACCAGTCCTGATTCTGTAACTTTCTGAAAAGACCTCATCAGTTCTAGGCTCCTTTGTTCTTCTAGGAGATACCCTGCCTCTCTGTCTCACTGTCTTGTCTTTCTGAACTACTTGGGTCCTTGAGAAATGGATTGCATTTGTTAGAGGTCAGATTCATTGGGGAGTTCTGTGTATAACATCAGGTCTTTTCATTGCTGAGCAGCCATAAGAAGCCATTAATCTCTGTAAAGCAGCTGTGGATGAGAAAACTCAGTTTCTTAAAGCTTTTGAAATGAACACAACACAGTAGGAAGGTGCTGCCCAGCATCACGCCGCCGCGCACCATAGCTGGAGGATGTAGATGGAAGTGTTCTTCATCAGTGTAGATCAGGAAACAAAGCCCATTCTTGCCATTCAGATGCAGTGCGCTCAGAGACACTTAGGTGTCAGCCATTTGGACCCCAGTGTTTACAGCACTGGACTGCAGCCTTGCAGGAGCGGGAGCTCACCAAGATGTAAGATGCAGTCTTTATCATAAAAGAGCGGAGCTCAGCTAGCTATAAAATTGAAGCACGTGTGTGTGTCTCTGGAAAGCTCCTAAGAAGCCCTGGTGGGGCTCAGGGAAGGCTGCATTGAGGGCTGGCTCTTAGCTGGGCTTAGAGGCACACTTAGAATGTGGACAGGTGACAGTGGGAGTGAAAGAAGTCATTCCAGAGGAAGAAAACGTGCAGGCACAAGCACAAAATAAAAGCCAATGTATTTTCTCCACTTCAAGTAAAAATATAAACCTAAGAATCCAGAGCTATGTGGGTCATTTAAAAATCCATCCTTTTTCATGATTTCATTTTACCTTTTAATATATAAATCTGCAGCACATTATACAATTAAAAGGTCACATGCAAAGCTCTGATAGTCTACTTGGGTGGTTACCATGTAGAAAACTAAAATTACAAAGGAAATTCAGTAGGTGGTTGATAGTTTAAATGCAGGTCACAAATTGGATCTATTTAATGATGTAGCTTATTTTAACTTTTAAAGAATAAGAAGGACTGTGATGAGAGTTTAACAGGTTGGAATGGCTGGCATTTATAGGAAAGGTTAACAGGGCAGAGTGAAATGAGTCCCCTTCAATTCTGTAGCCAATAATATTTGTAACAGTGAGCAGGTAGCTTTTTTTCTCTGTGTATTTTCTACTTAGTATCTGCAGGAAAGGACTGCTGGTGATTAAGGGGTAACACGAAGCATCTGTCGGTCTTCTAAGACATTCCCCTGCCTACAACTTTCCCTGGCCTCTGTCTCCCCAGTGTTTCAGAAGATAGAGTTGCCTGGAGCACCTGAAGGTTGATAAGGTTCAACCTTTGTGATGGTGGGTGTCATGGTTTCAGGATGCACGTGGTCCCCCATGGTTTCAGTCACCCATGTTAAACCCAGGTCCAAAATACTGAATGAAAACATTCCAGAAATTTGTAAGTTGTAAGCCTTTATTACAGTGTATCATGATCATTCTATTTTACTATTGTTGTTAATCTCTTACTGTGTCTAATTTATAAACATTATTGTAAATATGAATACAGAGGAGAAAGCATGGCTCAGAAGCTTAGGCATCTACTGGATGTCTTAGTATGTAATCCTACATGGACAGGGGAAACTACTTGCAGTGAAGTCCCCCCCCTTGAGGACCAGATGATTTTAAAACTAGAAGCATCTTTTACAGATGAAGGAACCACCTGAGACTGCGCCACATCAATAGCACAGCCTCCTAGAGCTTCTGCCCAGGGAAGAAACACTTCCTGAACACCGTTTGCATCCACCCTAGGGCCCTGGAGTGGAGATTGGCAACCGTGGCCAGATTCAGCCCGCACCTGTTTTGCTAAGCCAGGCTCTATTGACAACCACGCCTACTTATTTAGTGTTGTCTGTGTCAGCTCTTGTATTGCAACACAAGCAGAGTTGAGTAGTTCCAGAGATTGACCACAAAGCCTAAAATATTTACTAGTTGGCCTGTTAAAGAGAAAGTGTACCGCCCCCTGCTCTGCAGCATGGTGGCCCGGGGAGTCAGTGTCCCAGTCATCCCAGGCGTGATGATGTAGTAGGGTGTGAGTGTAGCAAACACTGTCCTTGCTCTCAGGGAACCACCTGCACTGTCGACAGTGAGGCAAGTCTAGGGCGTGAAAGGAGCAGTAACAAATGATTTAAGAGAGTAGATGGGTTCTGGACAGCAGGCTGCCTTTGCAGAATGGTCCAGGAGAACCGCAATCACATCAGCCACAAGAATAAAAGACGACCAAGTAAATTGTTTCTTTGCACATTCGAATTACACAGCCATCTATTCAAAGCTTCCCATGGGTCTGCTCTGTGCTCGTCCTGCACTGTTCTAGGTAACAGAGAGGTA